TTCCTGCAGGAGTGCACAGGAGCAGAGCTCCAGCAGTAAAGAGCCCGGGGGCGGGCACATACAACAAGTCCTGCCCCTGCTCCTTCTCTCCCTCTTTTCCCCTTTCCCTCTTACTTTCCTTCTTTTTCTTTCTTTTCCTTGTTTCCCTCCTTCTTTCTGTCTCTCCCTCCCTCTTTTCCCCCCCCTCTCCCCCTCTCCCCATCACCCTTTTTTTCCTGACAAGAGTACAGTCAGAGGCACAGAGAGGTACTCGGTGCCGTCTGCTGTCGCCGAAACCGGAACCGGAACCCCCCAAGCCCAAGGTTTATTCAGGTACAAGCTCTCCCCCATCTGCGAGGGCAGATCTGCATGTCCCCCCCCCATGGCTAGCAGTCCAAATCAGTCCAGTGGCGCCTGAGCGGTGGGTGTTGCCTTCTGACACACTTCCAGGGATGTCAGGGGTGTGGCATATGCTAATAAGTTATGCTAATGAGCTCCCGCACCTCTTTTTCTACGAAATGACCCCTGTCTCCAGCTATGCAACATAGACCCTGATTCTTAGGAGTATGGTGTCATTTGGAAACCCAAGGGTAGGTGGTAGATTTGAGGACCATTACATAGTCAGGTTTTAAGCAGAAATTATACATTAAAATGTTTATTTGAACCTATTCACCATTAAAATAAAAGGATACTCACTTATACCACTGGCCCATACCTTAGTTCCTTTCTGGCAGCAGTCATTTTTCTGATCATAAAAGGGCCTCATGTTCTTTGTCCATAATTGTATTACATTTTTCATTTCATTGTTTGAAAGGTTCTGTAATATTACCTTCTCCTAGCTACCTACAAGATAATGTCAATAGAATTTTGTTTTGCAACAGGACAGTGGAATCCCGCTGCTTGTAAAATGCCAGGAGTAAAATCAAGGCATTTATGGGGAAATGTCAAGTCTAAACCAAAACGCTAGTCTTAAAAAACAGAACCCCAAGGCACAAAAGCAAGATTTTGCCATGTGTATATTTCTCTAAAAACAAAGGTACCATCTACATGGATATTGTGACAGTTTCTCACTGGAATGGAATGGGACAGTTGTATTGTATTGAGGCTGTATTCAAAGAAAAGCTTTGTTTGGGGTGGGATATGTATGCCTTTGTCAAACTTTATTGTTGTCCTCCTTTAATTTTTTCCTTATTTAGGCATTTGATCAGTCTCAAATCTAATAATGACAATGATAAATGGGAATTATAATAATTAAAAGAATGGAAGTTATTACTGTTTTGTGTCCAAGAAAAACTTTCTCAGAGCTATCTCCCTCTGGAAACATGTATCTGAATGTCATAAAGTCTCAATCAACTTACAGTGACTTATGGCAACCAACTAAAGGTGACCCCCAGCAAGGGGCTTTCAGGGCAAGTGAGAAGTAGAGGTGGTTTGCCATTGGCTTCCTCTGCACACCCTTCCCTGTTGGTCTCCCATCCAAGCTCTGGCCCTGCTTAGCTTCCAAGATCTGGCAAGATCAAGCTATACCATTCTGCCTTCCCTCCCATCCTGGAGACTTACATATGCCTAAAACTTTATTTAGAAATGTATAGGTTGAGAAGGAAGTACAGAGGCATCCAACCAAAAGCACAGATTTTAAATCTATCCCCAAACAGACTCAGCGCACACTATGAAATACAAAAATTGGTCCTGTAACAAGTGAGGACTCCCTTCCCCCTTGCTTTCTGCCATACAGTTTCCAGGTTGCCTTAGAGACTTAGAGGTAAGTAGGTAGAGAGACTAGGGAGCCAAAGTCCAAAGACTTAGTGAGAGACTAGACTGCCGTGGAGCCAGAGGTCACTGCCCTTTAGTCACAGTTAAATAAACAGTTAGCATAAGTAGATAAATAATTCACTTCTAGGCTGCAACTATGACTGTGCTGTTAGAAGATTTCTGGCATAGAGATGAAACTGTCACAAATTTCTCCTCTTGATCCCTTACTATATGTAGCATTAATGTCCCATAATAATGATATAGTTCATATTAAGAACATTTTAAGCAGCAATGCCCTTAGTGATGACTGCAATTTGAGGGATTTCTGTTAGTCTTGTCTAAGCTGTTATCCAAATATTACCTTATGTTGATAAAGCAATATTATATACTGTATTATATTGCTAATACATATAAAGTAAAGGTAAAGCTTCCCTTGCTCGAAAGCCAGTCAAATCTGACTCTAGGGTTGCGGTGCTCATCTCCGTTTCCAAGCCGAAGAGCCAGCGCTGTCCGAAAACGTTTCCGTGGTCATGTGGCCGGCATGACTAAATGGAACGCTGTCACCTTGCCACTGAAGTGGTACCTATTTATCTACTTGCAATTTCTTGCTTTCGAACTGCTAGGTTGGCAGGAGCTGGAACTAGACACGGGAGCTCACTCCGTCATGCGGCACCCGGGTCTCGAACTGCTGAACTACCGACCTCCCACAGAGGTTCAGTGTCTTAACATATATGTAATCAATTGATTCGTAAGAATCAATAACCAGTGCTGGTCTACATTTGGCTCAAACTATCCATGAAAACTGGATTATTTTTAAAGAAAAATTGTACAATAAATTTTAGATGGATTCTGCACATATTTAATCAGACTTCAATCACCTTAACTCCTCCCTAATCTGCCAGCTAATACTTTAATATTTTTCCTCTTTTAAAGATAGTCACGAGTGGAATATTAAATGGAGCAGATTGTCCTTTCAAAAATCACAAAGTTGAATTGGCTCAATGGCATGATATCTAATACTGTTTATCAACTGATAAACACAGAGTAGTTACTAAATGGCTGTTGAGCATTGCTGCAAAACGTACTTTATTGCAGCCAGTCTCAGCTGGGCTTCATGCCACAGATATTTGCACCAAATATGGCAAGATGGTAACAAGATTCAGGAAGGATGTGGACATTTGACCTATTTCTTTCCAAAGTAATCAGTCATATCCATTGACCACCACTTGGCTGCCATCTCATTACTTTATATGCACACAAGAAAAATCAGCCCTTTGTTGACATGCCGAGGGTTGATTTTGCCTGTGCAAAAATGTCTCCATTAAACTTTAGAGGAACACACACCCAGCAATGTTCATCAAATATTTAGAGATATTTCCTAATCAGCCTGCAGCAAAGCTATGTGTTCTATCACTGAACCATAGTATCTCCTCTGCTAGAATCAGTGGCTAACCTCATAGTACTTACCACCAATGCTCCCTCTAAACTATGGAGTCTTGTGAGCAAAAATTCTACTTTGTGAGCTACTGACATTAAAGTTATGAGTGAGCAATTTGGCTACTGCATAAATTGGTTTGCTCTGGAGCCATCCTTCCTGAGCTAAGACAAAAATGTGAGCCAGTGGCTAAAAAAACTGTGAGCTAGCTCACACTAACTCAGCTTACATGGAACACCGCTGCCCACACTGCATGTGGGCATACAGTTATGGAGCAGACATTTGTAGCATCCACTCACATTGTAAAGAAAATCCATCAGCAACTATCTGCTTACCCAGATTCCCAAGTGGATGAAAGTGTAAGCTAACATTCTCAAGATATTCAACAGATGCTGTCTATCACTGTACATTACTCTGTTTGTATTTACTTGGTATCATCTCTGGAAAACTTACATACACACATGCAAAGAGCAGCAAACTACATTCCCATAAATTCTTTGTGTGGAAGCAGTATTAATTGCTCAATTGTCATTTTTGGTTGCACATGAAATCAGCCCAGCACAGATTGGCTGCACAAGTAGCTACTGCATGCTTTATCAACAGATAAGCATTATCACATATGTCCCATGCACTCTAAGTATTCATTCACAAGTACTGTCAAGATGGGGGTTTTTTTTAGTAGGGGCTGAGCAACAGGCAGCTGTGCTTGAACAGCTCCTTTAGTCTTGTCCAAGTCTAAGGCTGGAGGACGATGCTGAAACTCTTGAAGTGAGGAGAGAAATATTTGCTCGGCATGAGCCATGCACTTTTGAACAGGCCCACTGCTGTAAGGAAATTCATGCGAAAACAAAACCTCCCCTCTTTATGTTCAGGTGACCAAAAGAAACAATCACATTTCAACTAGACTGGTTGCGTGCAAAGAAAGAGGAAATAAGTATGAGGTTGTTGCTGGTCTGATTCATGCAACTATTTCAGTTCCGTTTGATGTAAATAAAGGCAGCAATTAAATATAGTTTCTTTTTTCTTTGTTTCAAAATCTGTCACTGACTCTGCAGGCTAAGACATGCCGCATTCCTCGGTTTCTTTCCTCCTCTCTCCCCCTGCGCTAATACATATTGTCTCTCTTGCTTACCGTATTTACATATCGTAATACTATCTGCCGGTTATATCATTCGCCCATTTATGTAAGCGCCACGCCGGCATAATGCAACATTACTGACGGGAATAGAAGTCAGAGGGAAAGGAAGACAGGAAAACCCGACACTTCCTCGCAACAAACTGTTGGCGCTGCAAAAACTTTCCATCCAGCATGCTTCTTCTGTCACTCTTTTTCACACACCGCTCTTGGCCACACGTCTCCCGCTTCCCCACAACCCATCACTCCTGCACATTACTCCGAAGTGTCTCACTGGGTGCCGCGGGATTTCCTCTCCGGGGTCTGAAGCCACAGAGAGTTCCCCTGCGCTCGCTCCCTAAATGCCCCTCTTCCCCCAGAGTCGCAGCAAGAGTCCACTTTCTTTTGGGCTTCGCAAGAGCCTCTCCTTCGCCAGCGGAGGGAAATCCTCCCTAAGAGCCGCGGAGGCGGAGGGCGTCGGACTTTTGGCGGGAAGCCTCCTCTCCCGCCCCCCCCTCCCTCCCTTTCGACGGCGGGGTCCTCAAAGGCTGTGCCCTCCGCTGTCTCCGGGCGAGTCCCTCTTCTGATCTCCGAAGGAGTGGAGGCGGCGGCGGCGGCTCCCCATTGGCCGCTCGGAGCCTGACGCGCGGCTTGGGGGCGGTGTCGTGGGCGCCGGAGCCCGCCGGAGGAGCGCTCGCCAAACATGCTGAAGCCCCGGAGCGAGTGGCGGCGTTCGCAGCGGCGGCCGCGGTTGCTGCGGAGGGCAGTCGCCGGCTGGTCCCCCGGCGCTCGCGAGGAGGGCGCTCCGCTCCGCCTTCATGCCTCCAGCCTGGCTGCCCTGAGCTGACCCCTCTCCTCGCCGGACAGCCATGGGAGATGGAGGGCTCCCCCTGGACGACAGCCCTCTCGGCCGATCCAACTCCACGGCGGGTCCCGGCGCCGGCAACGCCTCCTCCGCGCCCTTCCCTCCCGGCGGCCCTCAGGAAGCCCTGTCCCAGCAGTGGGCGGTGGGCATGAGTCTGCTGATGTCCTTGATGGTGCTGCTGATCGTGGTGGGCAACGGGCTGGTGATCGCGGCCATCGGGCGCACGCAGCGGCTGCAGACCCTCACCAACGTCTTCATCACCTCCCTGGCTTGCGCCGACTTGGTCATGGGCTCGGTGGTGGTGCCCTTTGGCGCCACTCTGGTGGTGCGGGACAGGTGGCTGTGGGGCTCGTTCCTGTGTGAGTGCTGGACCTCGGTGGATGTCCTGTGTGTGACGGCCAGCATCGAAACCCTGTGCGTCATCGCGATCGACCGCTACCTGGCCATCACTTCACCCTTCCGCTACCAGAGCCTCATGACAAAGAGACGGGCCAAGGGCATTGTCTGCACCGTCTGGGCCATTTCCGCACTGGTATCCTTCCTGCCCATTATGATGCACTGGTGGAGAGACACGGGCCCGGAGGCTCTGAGATGTTATGACGACCCAGGCTGTTGCGACTTTGTCACCAACTGGGCCTATGCCATCGCCTCCTCGGTCATCTCCTTCTACATCCCCCTCTTTGTCATGATTTTTGTCTACATAAGGGTCTACAGAGAAGCCAGGGCACAAATGAAGAAAATCGACAGGAGCGAGGGCCGGTTCTACAACAACCATCACCAGCCACCGCCTCACCAGCACCTGCCCATCTTGGGCAATGGCCAAGTCAACAAAAAGAAAAGTTCCCGTGTCCTGGCTGTGAAGGAGCATAAGGCCCTGAAGACTCTGGGCATCATCATGGGCGTCTTTACTCTTTGCTGGTTGCCCTTTTTCTTGGTCAACGTGGTCAAGGTCTTCAACAGAGGCTTGGTACCAAACCAGCTCTTTGTCTTCTTCAACTGGTTGGGCTATGCCAATTCTGCCTTCAACCCCATCATCTACTGCAGGAGCCCGGATTTCCGCAAGGCTTTCAAGAGGATGCTGTGCTGTCCTAGGAAAGCAGACCGTAGGCTGCATGCCAGTACTGGGGAGTTCTCTCCTTGCCCTGGGGGCTTCATCAGTACCCTTGGAAATACTCCTCAGTGCACACTTGGAGGGACATGGTCTGAGTACAATGGCGGTGGACAGGATGCAAGTGACTCCAGCTTAGAGGAAAGGAACAGTAAAACCTCCTATTCAGAATCCAAGGTATAAAGGCAGCCCATGGGGGCGGATCAAAATAATAGGAAAGCAATATTGCAGGTAAAGAAAGGGAGTCAAAGAAATAAGCAGGGGGGCGTGTATCCACCAGCAACTGGTTACCGGACAAAACTCCAAATGGTCTGTCTTGTCTCAAAGGGCAGACAATCTTACTTGCTCAAGATCAAAAGCAGGTGAACTTGTACGCCGTGTACCTCTTCTGACGCATCAGAAATGAATGCAAACAGAGAGCAACTAACCATTGAACAAAAAGGGATTAGAAGTCCATGTCTCCATAACGTTTGGATTATTATTATTTACACAGGGGAGCTAGGTGCTCGGTGTGCAGGAGAAAAATGAGTTTGCAAAAGAAAAGTTTCAGAAAGACCTGAACTTGTGGCAGGCGCTTGGCTTGACAGTCTTTGTGAAAAGGTGGTTTGCCTCCCCTGAAATGGAAAGAAACAGAACCAAGCCCTTAGTGGTTTGACAGAGCCGGGGATCACCTTCTTTCACTGTTCTTACTCATTCTAAGATCTTCAGTAGCAGAAACTGTAGCCTGATTATTATTTTTTTAATGTACAATGTGCTGGTCATGTATATCCACTGAAGTCAGTGGAGATTTCAGGCGTTCACCACCTTTGGAAGTGATGCTAAAACTCTCTTTTAATAAGCTATTGGAAAGTATATACAGATGAGTTTTACCAGGCAACCCTGATCCTTATGCTTGTTTAGCCAGAAGTGAGTGAGTTCATTGGAACTTGTCCCCAAGTAAGTATGCTCACCTAGCCTTAATAACCTTATGGCCTCACTACCCTTAACACCTATTTGGGAATGATAAACCAGTAATATTGTAAATGGACATACTTCTGTTTTGAACTAATCTCTCTCTTTTCATCCCAGTGACTATTTTTTCCTCTGGGAATGCATTTTTCTTGTCCTTTGAGACAACATAAATCAGGCTAAGGAACATCTACCTCAAGCTGTGCATATCGTACAGGGGAAATATGTTTATATTAAACAGCTTATTTATGTATTGTTAGGGATTTTTTTTATAGAGGCAGAAGCATCCTCTTCTGGAGGCAGTTTGTTCACATTGAAAGATGAGCAGGGGAAATTGACTAAGAGCACCCAAAATGTTACTGCACATTTGAAAAGAGAGGGGTTTTTTTGTTTGTTTTGCACAGTGTTAACAGTTGTAAAGATTGATGCACCTGCACACACCTGCACACACACACACTCCACAAGAAAACAAAGGTGTTTAAAAACCATCAAATTCCAACCCAATTTCTGTTGCGGTCAAATATATTTACGCTTAATTTTTTTAAAAGCTTTTAATATTATTTAACTGAAGTACTGAATGTATATTCATGCTATGAATCCTAAACATTTTTATTAGTTATATTTTTATACCCAGGAGCCCATGTGAATCTGTTAGAACTTTAGCACTTCATTGTCATTCCTTACTTTCCCCTGTGTGTGAGTGTGTGTGCGTGCCTGTGTGCATTTTATAATATATTTATATACTTCAGTGCAATTTACTACTGTATAAGTCATTGGTCTATGTGCAATAAATACCACTGCAGCACAAGCAATCCTATTTGCAGAGTTTCTCTATAGGTACACAGAAACAATACCCAGTCCTAATGAAAAAAGCAGAGTCTGTTTTTCTGAAAATATGGATTGTATTACCAATACAGTGCAACTTAATGGCTTTTCCTGACATGATTATCTTTTTGAAAAATATGCTTGCTGGACGAAATAAGGTAGCGTTCCTGTTAGACTGAAGGCTGCTTACTTTCCTTGAAATTCCAGAGCCAAAGGCAAGTTGTTTCTAGATAGGGCTATAAATACTTTAATTGCTTTGATTTGATGGATGTCTCTTATCATCTGTTTAAATATACTCTGATAGAATGTAAGACCAGGTGGTTGGAGACCTAAAGCTGAAAGGGGCAGACTTATTTGTACTTGGTTTCCTTTGGGCTGAATGTTGTGGATGAAAGATCATTGAGATGCAGAAGCCATAAATCACTTATGAGTTGTCTATCATGAATTGTCCCACTGAGGCTGAGATTGTCAACAGCCACTCCAGAACAAGGGATTTTGAGTGGTGCTGTTACAAGCAATGCTCCTGTAGCCGGAGCTCCAGTGAACTTTCTGCAGAAGCATTATTCACATCAGGGAGAGAACTCCACTCAAAACAGTAGTAAACCATCCCATTTACTAGACAGGTCTGATTACTTACTATGAAGTAAGTTTGTTAAAGAGGACTATGCCAGACTGACTACTGTGAACAGTCTTTATGCATTCCTGGGTGAAAGTTGACAGTATTTTTATAGAACCAGGTGATAATTAGATTGCTTTTTATGTTTATCCATCTATCTATCTATCTGGATATCTATACTCCCCATCTTTCTCCTGATGCAATCAGGGTCAAAGGCAGGTAGCAACCATAAATGTTTAACCTAAAATATCATTTTGATACTAAACAATCAGATGGAAATGTACAGGAAGAAAATTGAAAGCAGAACTTCAGTGTATATTGATTGTGCGATTGAACTCTGAAGTCAATGGAATACATAGCAGTACTGACAGCTGAATATAATGAGCATTTTACGTCGTTCTATCTAGCTGTTTCTCAGCATACTTTTGGCCGCTTCAGCTTCCTGTAGTATGTTATCAGCTAGTATTTCCACCGTTTCCTAAAGTCCTGAAAAGGGGCACAGTTTGCTTATATTTTATATATCATTAAAAAGTGGCACAAAAGACAGAAATTCAGCAATTGACACTTTTCTGGAATTGGAGGGCTTTACGTGTTACATTTATGCCTGCTGTGCTACCATGAAAAGCACAGGACCCCCTGCAGTAAAACAGGAGCAAACCAGTTGTCAGCGGAATGCGATTTTACATCAGTAGAGTATAGAGGCTAGAGAGGTTGATTAGGCCTAGGGAGACTTGGGTTCAAGTTCCCACTCACCATAAAATCCACTGAGTGACTTTGGACCAGTAACTCTCTCTCAGCCTGGCATACCTCACAGGGTTATTGTGGCAATAAAATGAAGGAGAGAACTGTCTACACCTGAATGAGCTCCTTGGAGGAAGGAAATAAAGAAATGAATAAATAAATAAAAGACCATGAGCTGAACTAATTTGTTTGGAATGAGGCGGATCAGTACTGAGTCCTCACTGCAGCTTTACAACAGGACAAATTAATCAAAGGAAATGGCTGTTCCCCTTAATTAATTACCCTTTGCCCTGGGCTTTGGATGAGGTCTCAAGTCAAACAGGCTGATTGACAAGTGCAGGTTTATCAAATGTAATTTAAATGTAGTAGACGGACATTAATTATGTCACAGTGCTCCGTTACATGGATTACTACAATGTGTTTGTACACTAGAGATCCTGCTTGTATGTGAGGGAAAAGAAATCTTTCGAGTTGGCACAAGGGACATCAAGGCTGCTTGCTGCTTAAACTGTCGTCTTCTTATGATAGCACTAGAATTCTGTCTTTTCTGTGTTGCTTTTCTATACTGATCTTCTTCCAAGGATTCTGTGGCAGTTCTTCAGGCACACACTGTTCTAGAGTTACAGATAGATGAAGCAACAATTTTCTGTATGCTTTATGGCTATTTCTTAGTTACAACAGTGTATCCCTCCTTTAAAAAGGCATTTAATAATGACTATTAATATTGGGAAAGGAGTCAGTTGGAAATAGCCGGGGATGGATTTTAGTGCTGTAACAATAGTGGCTGATAAAATGTGTCCGCTGTTATGCAGCAATATATCAATCCATTTATATGGCTTCATTTGGATAGATTCAGGGCTGCGGAGACTCTCAGTATGGTTATGAACACTGTGACCAAGGCAAGACCACTTGCCTTGGAGAGGCTGTTTCCAGTGACACTCCTGTGGCACATTACCATGTATCCTGGCTTCCCAGAGAAGAAATAAGGGTTCTGATACAACGATATACACAAGGCTTAACATGTGCCACAGCTTATCCCCAGAATTTGTCTTCAGTGCTAGCCCGGACTCTGGTCACAGTCACATGTCAAAATGCACCACAATCTACGTACTCCCCTACAACACATAAGGTGCCTCTGTTCACAGGAGTTGGTTCTAGTAACTATAGCTACTATACAAGAAAAATGCAGATGCGAGGGTGCTTTTTGTTGCTGAGATATCTATAGCGATTCAATTGGAAATAACTGCAATTATCCTATTGTTTTATGTGCTTGTATGCACAGTGTGCCTTGCCATGCATATAAAAAGGCTTTGATACATAAGTTAAAAACCCACCCACAGCCTCAGAATATATGCTTTACTGATAGAGAAGAGAGTTTGTTTGAGTGCGTACAGAGTGACTTTCCCTTACTTCTAAGTAACCCCACACATGATTAGGCCTTTGGCCATTCAGGGCAGGGGACTGCAAGCTCTGTCACTTTTGTGTTTGTTTGTTTGTTAAATTAAGCATCGGATGTCATTGGTAACACAATTTTCATGTTACACCACTCATTCAGAAAGACTACTTTCGTTATGATTGTTTCATCCATGCAGCCAATGTGGAATTGTGGTTAGCATGTGAAATTAGGCCCTGTGAGCAGTGTTCCCTCTAAGCTGAGTTAGTGTGAGCTAGCTCACAGTTTTTAAGCCTCTGGCTCACGCATTTTGGTCTTCGCTCAGGGAGGAGGGCTCCAGAGCAAACTGATCTATGCAGTAGCCAAATTGCTCGCTCACAACTTGAATGCCAGTAGCTAACCAAGTAGAACTTCTGCTCACAAGACTCCACATCTTAGCGGGAACATTGCCTGGGAGACCTGGGTTGAAATCCCCATTCAACCAACGATGTTACTAGATGACCTTGAGCTAGTTACTCTCTTACAACCCAACATCCTTCACAGCATTGTTGTGAGGATAAAATGGAGGAGACAACAGCCATGTATGCCACACACCAGGCTTCTTGGAAGAAGGGGGAAACAAAAATGTGATAGATCTAGTCAGGCTTGAGTTCAAAGAAGCCTGTGTTCATATGTAAATGCTTCCATGTAGGCACATTTGCGTGGTTGGTTTTGCCCTCCTGCAGTAGCCCGTAAAGCCAATGTGGTGCTGCTCCAAATTTGAGGCAGCCAACAGATGGCAAAAACTGACCTCATACTTCTCTGGAGCCAAGCCTGTATTGTACCATGGTTTCAATTTAAATGGTTAGGGATTTATACCTCACATTCCTCCCAAAGCAGCTTACCACACCACTATCCCTTCTATTAATTATGTGTGTAGACTAGCCAGGAGATCCTCAGATTGTCTGGCAGGCAACAGTTCCAGCACTTTAGCGTTATTTATTTCTTTCAACTTACTACCCCGCTCGAACCCCCTAAGGGTTATGCACCACTAGGTGGTGAGCTAGACTTGTTTTTAAGGAAAGAAATGTTTCGGAGGCGGTTTGCCATTGCCTGCCTCTGTGGTATTCCTTGGAGGTCACCTTTCCAAATACTAGCCAAGGCCGACCCTGCTTAGCTTCTGCAATCTGAGGGGATCAGGCTAGCCTGGGCTATCCCCTCTATTGTATCCTCACAACAACAACCCTGTGAGGTTGGCTAGACCAAAAGAGAATGGCTGGCGCAAGGTCATCCAGCAAGCTTCCATAGCAGAATGAGGATTTCAGCTTGGGTGTCTCGGATCCTAGGCCCATACGCTAATCACGACTACTATACTCTGCTGTAGTTTTCCTCCATTGTACATAGATCTGTGAGCAGCAGCTGTATGATTAAAATAAAACTACGATAATTGGCATACAGCTCACTTGCCAAAGTCACCTGAATGTGTTTTTCCTAAAACATTTCTTGTCCTACAGCCATGCCTGGTATGGGGCTCCTTCCTTCTTCCTGCTTTCTTCTGTTGCTGTTTCTTACTAATGATCAGCCTTATTTAGAAGGCAATTCAAGTGTGCAGGAAGGACCTATGGAATAGTTGTCAAACACCACCACAGAATACAGGAGGGATAGCTCTTGGAAAGCATCCCTATGTCAAAGCCTTCCTTCATGGAGGATACATGTCAGGAATACAGTGTAAAGCTTACCATTCTCCTTGCTGCAAAAGCTTTCTCTATGCAAGGAGATTTCAAATAAGCAATCCCTGATTGTCTGTTCCGAGGCAGCAGTGACCAATGTTCCCTCTAAGCTGTGGAGTCCTCTGAGCAGAAATTCTACTTTGTGAGCCACTGACATTAAAGTTGTGAGCAGGTGATTTGGCCACTGCATAAATTAGTTTGCTCTGGAGCCCTCCTTCCTGAGCTAAGAGAAAAATGTGTGAGCCAGAGGCTAAAAAACTGTGAGCTAGCTCACACTAACTCAGCTTAGAGGGAACACCTGGCAGTGACCCATTACTGGAGTGTACTGCATTGATTGCCTGTCTTCTGAGCCTAGTTTCACCCTGTGGGTAGGACTGCTAAGCAATGTTCCCTCTAAGCTGTGGAGTCTTGTGAGCAAAAATTCTTCTTTGTGAGCTGCTGGCATTAAAGTTGTGAGCGAGCGATTTGGCTGCTGCATAAATTAGTGTCCTCTGGAGCCATCCTTCCTGAGCGG